TAATAAGTTAGTCATAAAAGGCAACAAGAATTCCAAACGGAACTAGGTTGAATAATAACAACTGCCGATCCAGCTTAGGCGAAAGCGCACGAAGAAAATTTCATAACTCATTTAAACAAAACGGCGGTGGATTATTGTCGGTGCGGTTTGTTTACATTGAATTTTTTTACAACGCAATGACCGCGTAAACACTTTGGCCGCCGACTATTTCTGGGAAACGGTAAACGTTGTTTGCATTGCAAACGCAGGCGATTCTTCCATTGAAATACAATAAATAATATGTTGCCGATCGCTTCGATATTTTCCATAAGGGAAAAGTGTTTTGCGGGTTATCTTGGCGTGTAAAATATCAAGCGCTGGGTATTAAAGCCGTTACGCTGTTATCGACGCCACGGTTTTCGACACAGTTGTGTACACTAAAAAGAACAACACGTATGAAATAGCAGTGAAACCGAAATAAACGGGGGTCGTTGTTGTTGTCGCATTATCATGTCGACAAATAAATAATTTCATATTGATAAAACGTGTAAAGAACCTGTTCCGACGTCAATAAAACCTTACGAAGCCGTTAGCCCGACTATTGTAACCGTATAGGACGAAAAGCGAACACAATCGACTTTTTTCGGCGTCTATTTGTTGATTAATATTCACGTGTATGAATACGCATAAAATTCTGTTAAAAAGACGTGAATACGATAAAATTCAATTTCGACGACAACAAATGGGATAGACGAAAGCACATATCTAAACGGCAACGAGTACAATTGCATTATCTGTGCGATGTGATCGGACGACTCTTATCGGAGTATTTATACGCGGGACGTTCTAACCTAAAATTAGAGTAGTCTTGCGACTGTCTCGTAGGCCGTACGAATGACGGGCCAAAAAATTGTGACGTTGAAAATAATTTAAAAAAAAAAAAAAGCGTACGAGTAAAGTATTTTTTATCGAGGTAAACGAACGCCAGAACAGAGTAAATAAACGCCCTGCTGATTACCTACTCTGTATAGATATTGTCATACAACGAATTTTTTTTCAACGCTAGTAATGATATTTATTTGTTTGGCAACTTTTAAATGATTAAAAAATCACCAAAATCTTCTGGTTTTAACGTACAATGTTATCTTTTGGTGACACTCACCTTTGGGAGTTAACAGGTTTTCCGTACTGGACACGTTCCCGCGGTTGTCGTTGGTCGACCCGTAACTCATTTCGAATTGTGCGGGTGGCAAAGGCTTCCGCGGCGGTTTCCCGTGCGTTCCATTGCGTTGGTCGGCCATTTTGGCCATCGTCGTTGAAGTTTTGTGGAAAGAGGACTGTCGTCCGTTAACGGTAACTACGGTCGGCGTGGCCGTGTCGTATTCTTCGGGTTCAGCTCGCGGGGGCGGTGGAACCATTTTGACAACACGAGATGTTGACGCGTATCAAGATTGTAGGAGACATTCGATTGCAACAAAACCGTCGAACAGATAAAAGAAATAGTAAAAAAAAAAATAATTATAAAAAAAATCAAAACGTAAATAATTCCAAAAACGTCGGGCGTGCGATTGATTTTCTAAATGTGTTCGGAACGTTATGTGCGGTTCACGTGAGAAATAAAACGGTTTTTATTTAGTTAACACGTACTGGATATATAATTATATTATTACTTATCGAAAATTCAATACGTATACATAACAATATTACTATGTATGCGGTTGAATTTTTATCGATCAGCACACGCAGACGAGAGATCCACAATTAAACGGGATAACTGCACGGCAATGTGCTAGTCGCCGCCCGGCGTCCCTCCCTTTTCCGTCTGCCCCCGCACCGCTAACCAGCCCATCGATGACATTTCTCCTCTCTACTTTTTCGCGTACACCTTTGTCACCGTTTTTTTCGCCCTTCCTCGGCAGCAATCAGCGCTTACCTATATAGGAAAAAAAACAACGTTTTCAAGGCCTCCCCCTTCGCATCTCTTCCAAGCGGCAACTAACCCCTTCCTCATGCCCAAATTATTATTATTTATATTCCATTCCCAACTGTTTATTTGCGCACCGAAAAGGGTTCGTTTGTTCCTATTTAGATAAACGAAACACATTGCGAAATAAACGGCAAATTGCCTATTAATAGCGATTTTTATGGCGTTTTGATACACTTTAGCAGGCATGCACACACACATGAATGCAATCTCGGGTGAAACATTTATATTATCTTTTTCATCCATTCTGCGGTATAATTGTGTATGAATGGAATGTGATAAGAATTATAAACCTGGACAGTACTTAGCAACGAGTAATTCATAAACACCTCGTACAACTAGAATAAATACACATAGATACAATTTGGAAAAACACATACCGAATGATTTTTAAGAATTAACTTTATATCTAATAATAAGATGATTGAATTTTAATGAAAAATATTTTAAATTGTAACAGTTTATACGTTTCCCACTAGTTACGGTGTAACAATGGGATTACATTTTATATATTTGATTGGCAACCTTTTTTATTTATTCAAAATAAATAAAACTTGAAATCTACAAATATATCATAATTTTGCTAACTCATATTTTCCAATGCATATATTTTGAAATTAAGTTTAATGTATATTTGGGAGATTAATAGATTACATTAGAAAATAATTCCAAAATAGTACTCAAACACTTACCTTGAACTTTCGCATTCATTTTAAATTTTCAGTTGAAATAATTAGTTTAAAATTCTTACTCTATTACTTTGGCCCTTATTAGTAAATTATTAAATATAATAAAATGTATATTTTAACTACAAATAATAAGTCTTAGTTTTTTAAACTACTTCTTTTTTATTTTTAAGTTGGAATTAGGTTGAGTATTGTATTCATATTTTGTTTGATAAATGACTTATGAATTATTTTAATAAATTTGCATGGATATTAGAAGTTTGTCAAATATTCCAAGAATGTACAGTGAAGAATCAAGTAAATATTTGGAATAGCCTAGAAAAAATAATTTACCTCTTGACTTGCCATCGCCTTTAAAACCTTTGAATATGGTTTAATCACACGTTCAAACATTTTTCTAATGGTGTTGACTAAACTTGAAGACGATGGCAATTTCAAAGAAAATTATTTTATTGTACAAAAAAATTATTAAATTATTTATTATACGAAATCCGAATATTTACTCGATTCACTCTTAACTACTTATAATAGATCATATTAATTTCATTTTTGTTAGATAATGATTGTTATAAATTTCATGTCATATATAAATTTAAAAAAATCCCGAAAGTTGTTGTTTTAATTTTCAAGCTAGTTCATTGAATTCGAATATAAGTTATTTATTAATTTATGTTGTGTATAAAGAAAGTATTAATTTTTATTTTTTCAAAAAGTAATAATATTTATATTAAAATATTGACTCTTAATAGTTAAACGACATTTTATAAAAACTAAAAAAACTAATTTTTCATAATCATTATTTCAATTGTCACATACGCAAAGTACAAAAATATTGATTTTGTACTTATTCGATTATCATAGTTAATTAAGGTATTTTAAAAAATTAGTTGATTTTGTAACATTAAAAATAAAATATACTAAGGTTATGTAAAATCATTATCGAACAGACCGATCATTAGAAATTTAAAAATAATTAGACACCAATAACTTATTTTCACAAAAACTGTTGCTTACGCCCTTTTTTTTATCAAGGCTCGATATAATCATAGGGCAGCTTATCTAAGGTAAACATTTTATTAAATATTTATAGAATATGGTATGTATATTATAAAGAGTGTTCAGTAAGGAAACAGGTCAATCGTTACAAGCATAGAGAAAAATAAAACCGTTGCCTTATTTACTTAATACTCTGTATGTAACATACATTATGTAAGTTATTTAGTGACCTATCGTCTAGCTCCCTGAAAAGAATTAAGTTTATGAACTAATAACTATTTAATAAAATTAAAATATAATTTATAACCTATTAGAATAGTATTTTTATACTCTATAATTCACAATTTTGACACTATGTACCAGTGGGGATATTTTTATGACTCTTATAAGAAATAAGTAGTAAATGTTATATAATCAAATGATTATTTCATTTGATTTATTAACGTTATGTTTTACGTTACTACACCCATTTATTTAACTTTTTAAATTAATTCGAATACGATATTTTAATTGTGACAATCATTATAACCGAAGTATATTTGTTTAATCATTTTTAATTAAGTATAATTTTATTACTATATATATATATAATAATTTCATCTTTAGATTTAATTGTCAATTAAAACCATTGTGTTAATGTTAGAGGTCCCTTTATAGTTAGCTACCTGTTAATGTAATCCATTATAGTTTTCATAATAGAATACTAATCGTGGTCATGTGTACCAATAAATCTAGACACACTAAATTTTACAGCCATAGTTTTGAATTTCATTGTTCATCATAATAATTACCCAACAACTAGAATCACTCTACATTTTTTCATTGTTTATATAAAAAGTACTTGAGTATTAATTTAGAGTCATGTACTCTAACTAAAATCATTTTTATTAAGTAAAGACAATTTGAGATGAGTAAAACGTCATTTTGTGCTAAAATTATTTTATAACAGGTAGCAAAATATTACACTTCCTTTACATAAAAAGTTGTAAATTCCTATAGTAATGATAATTTATTTATAAATTCGTGCGAATCATTAAGTGCGATTATAACTCAATTATATATTCATTTAATAAAAAATTTTAAAGTGCGTTTCTCTTTTATTATTACCAAATAAAAATGAATCAAATTTTTTCCATAAAATATCGGTTCTATTTTAATTTTATTATTTTAAATTTTATATTTTATTGTTATTATAATAGAAAAATTATTATTATTTTTTAATACTCTATATTTATTAATTTATCATTATCAACTAGTTGGTAATTATTAATTCTTATTATTATCGTAGTATTTTATTTTAACTTGACAAATTAAATTTATAGATAGTCAATGTTAAAGAAAAATGTATGGTTTTTGTGTAAAAAATGCAAAATTTAAAAAAAAATTTATAAATTGTTACACAAAAACTTATTTAGAAATTTTCTCAAGTAAGTAATGTAAAGTTTATTGGTGTATTAAGAATTGGGTGGCTAGAGAAAAAATCCCGACTAATTTATTTTTTCGAAAATATTTATTTTGACTTTATTACTGTATATCTTTTTAAAAAATATTTAGAAATAGAATTTTTTTTTTAATTTTATGCGTTTTCTGAAGTCATGTAAAAGAGGTTGAGGTATCATATCCTATCACCAAAAAAATCTAATTTTAAACTGTTTTTGTGTATATATATTTTTTAATTTTAATTTTACATTGTTATTAATTTCTAAAAACTAGGTGATACAAGTGGAGGCCATAGTGATTGGGTCACCAATTATTATAAGTGTTATATGGAATTAACTGACCTTAAATATAAATTTAATTATATTAAAAATATTCGTTTCTACTAAGTAGAGAAAAGTTTGATATTTTGTACTAACTTAAAGTGCCTTGTTTACCTATCAAAAAATATGATATACGATTTCCTGGCCAAACAAAATAGATTTGTTCTATTTAAAAATTTTGTTTTATATTGATAGATATAAAACTCTAAACTGATCTATAGAATCAATTAGAAAAAATATACTATAGCACAATAGTGGAGCACACAGCAGTTAAGAAAAGTGTATATATGAATGCCGATGAGTGGATTTCCAAGAGTTATTTTATGTATTAATTGATTCTTGAGGCAAATTAAAAGATGTATGAGTTGATTCTCAGTACACATATGAATTTATTCCTAAACTTCTGAAATGATTTGAATTTATATTTTTTTTATATGTAAACATTCGTTTTTTTCTAATTAGTTAAAATCTCAAAAAAGAGGTTTGGTAAAATCTAATTGCAAATTTGAAATCAATGCAAAAAATGAATTTTTAAAAAGTTTATTCTGGTCTCTCATAACAATTACTTGCTGACCAGTGTATTTATTCAAAAATAAAAAAAAAAATATTTTGTACAAAGTTTTGCATTAAGCCCTTTAATATTTAAATACGTATTTCATAAAATTAATGAAATATACAACTACTTACTTTTGGAATAATCTACTAATTTCTTAAAATTATACACTATCAACATATATATATATATATATATCAAAACGTTTTTCATTAAAGTGATTTTAATCACTGTCAAATATCATTTATAGTTACCTCAACTATGCCACGGACCCCACCGTGCTACCGCTTTCTAATGACATAAGATGTTTGTTTATTTTTTTAATTTAATCATGTTAAACTGTACAACCTATTAGTTTTTAAATAAAATATATATTTATAAAATAATTATGTTTTAGAATTTTCCTTATAAAAAATGTTGATGGATTGATAATAACTTTAGGATAAGTACTCATTAAGTTACAATCATATTAATAAATAGAGTGAGTTTGTAACGCAGTTACAATATGCATTATAAATATTCGCCACTGCGAATTATAAATATATAACCCTAATTAAAATATAAGAGATATACTTTCAATCAATAAATTGTGTGTATACATTTGAATAATAGTGAAAATTATTTTTTTTTTTTGGATTTTTTGTTTGTATTACATGTATTATATCTTTACCAAAAGTTTAATACAATCTACATGAAAAATTATCTGGTTTAAAGTGTCTACATACAATTGTCAAATATTTTTTTTAATAATATTTTCAATTAAAGTTTTAGAAAGTTACAATTTTAATAGGATTATTCACTTAAACTTACACCAAAATTTATACTACATTATAGTACTATATTTTGGCGTTGATATTAGTTACCCATTACTGTGTAAGTATAACTACATTTTAAAAACCCTTGATTGAAAATATATCTTTTTTTTTTTCTTATTTTGTGCTATCAAATTTTATGTTTTATACTGACGTATATTGACATAATTACGTGGTGAATCATATAACTCCATAAAAAAAGTAATTACATTGTAAAGATACAGTTTTTATTAATTGGTGAGGGAAATTGATAATTTTTTTCGTGTATATCCTTCCTCTGACTCAAATTGAACTCCAATGACGCTACTAACGTTTCCTATCACTTTTTAGATGATGCTAAATTCAAATTTTATAAGAGACATTAAATATTTCATGATACACAAAATATGTGACACTCTGCATAAATTACTTATCTTCTGGATCTTAGTCATTTTTTCAATTTAATTTGGATTTGGATAATATTTTAAACTAAATGACATTTAGAATACTCTTTCTGACTACAAAAGGCCAATAAAAAAATAATGCCAAATTTTAATTTAATGATCTTAAAAATATCTCGATTCATAACGAACAAGACAATAACTTAAAAATTCAATTTTGATATTATGAAGTATTAAGATTTATATCTTCCTCCTTTTATAATTAAATTCATAAAGATATCTAAAATTTGGTTTGAATCGGAATTCAACTACTTAAAAATTTAATGAACACATTGGGTGTAATCAAGAATAAATTTTATTTTTAACCTACTGAAAAGTTAGGAAAAGTGAATTACTGCCTTAGTGGTTTACATATCGATATACTTTGATATATTATATATAAAAAAAACGCATTGTAACCCTTTTAAAAGGGCATATGTTTAAAATAAATAAGTAGGGTGACTGGGGAAACAATGGTCAATGGGTAATACCGGTCACCTCATTATCTAATAAACCCATGCATCTAAAATTATGTTGACCATATGAATAGATTAAGAATGATAAAAAATCCTTATTCTTATTATAATGATATTATCAAAAAACGTTTTCATGTTTAAATGTCTGAAAATAGTTTTTACCGTTTATTTATCTAAAAAAATTTTTTAAGAAATTTAATTTAAGGTAAGCAAATATATATTAATTATATATAATTATATAAATATATATATTTATAATTCATATAAACTATATTTCAGTGATTTTATTAAAAATTATTTTATCCCTATCTTTTGCATGTATTTATGTATAGCTGATATTCCCCTGGGGTAGAGGGAATACCGGTCATTTGCATATATATTATAAAGAGTGNTATTTATAAGATTATGTTTTAAAAACCTGAAACTTTGACATAATGCAGTCAATATGTTTATGTATCTATTTGTAGTAATAGCATAACTTTTAGAGTCTTAGAACCACAGATATAACAATTTTTGCTAAGGTGACCGTAGTTCCCATAGTCTCCCCTATCACTCGAGGGATTTTTAAACAAAAACTTGTTTTTATTCATTCATTTTTCAACAAATTTGAACGATTTAAATTAAATAAGTTAATTTTTATTTTAAAAATTAAATAAAATATTAGATAGTTAAAATTATAAATAATCGAAATACATTACTCACGTCCATAATTAAATTAAACACATATACATTCTATATGTTCAGAAATAGAATAACACATTTCCAAAAAAAATAAATTATCACTAAATTAAATAATTTATAAAATAAAAATGGCATTATGTAATCAATAGAAGAATAAAAATGTTTCAAAAATATGTTTTTTTAGTACTTTAAGTGATCATTAATTCTTCAATATTAAATTTACTGACTTTAAAATTTACTCATTTACTTATTACGCATATATATATATTTATGAATAACACATTTACAAATAAAATAAATTAACTTTTAATAAAAGCAAAACATTAATAAAATTCAATGAAACTTGCAGTAAATGTATTAAATCAAATTGTAAATTAATAGAATGAACAAAATGATTTTAATAAATGTTATTTTATTTTTGAACTTAAAATTAACATTAGGACTGAACTATACAGAATTGCACTGTAATTTTTCATTTTATTTGGTAAATTACTTTAATCACAACTATAGATATTTAACTGAGATAACTAAAAACAAAATGGAATACAATGAATCGGATTTAAAATTATACGGCACTTCAATCCAAACTCACGGTGAAATTGTATTAGTAATGTTAGATATATTAAGGAAATTTAATGAGAATAACAATATTAACTTTTATTCAAAAAGTTTAATGGCTATTAATTTATATTTTAACAACGTTTCAGGATACACTGATATGCTTTCTGCTAATGAGGATGGCGGAATTGATCTTTTAGATTTAAAATCAAATATCCTTCATACTTATAGATTTATTCATAAGTTTTTAGTAACTCAATTAGATAATTTTAATAAGACAAGATGTATAGATTTGGAAATTGACCAAGAATTTGTTAATTGTCCTAATTATAACCAATCAAGAAATTATAATTTGGACAATATGATTTGTGTTTCAAAGAAATTAAAAAATAGGCTGCTCCAAACTGACGAGGAACTAAACATCATAGACATTCATCAAAAAAAATTAAAAAATAGCTTTATTTATAAAATTTTCAAATTATCATTCAACGTAGGAGAATATTGGGATTTTTTACCAAAAAATATTATATTGTATGATTTTATGATGAATGGACAAAACGTTTACGAGAGAGACATTACGTTCGGATCACAAGCACGACAATATCAAATATTGGAAAATGAACGACCTAAATATGTTTTAGACATACTTCGCTTTGCACCTTTAAATAAAAAATGTGGAGATGGAAGTCAAGTTACACTTTTTGATTTATTCAGGTATGTCAAATATACTATTTACCGATCCGATGTAGTAATCTTTCATTCACTTGTACTTGCAGCAACATTTCGTCCTTTTGCCTTAATTATAAGATTTTATATAAAAATTTTTAGTGGTTTTAAATTCATTTATAACTTAAAAAAACCGGATAACACTATTATAACTTTTTATAATAATATGAGGAAAGTTGGTTCAAATATCATTGATTATTTTCAATTCTTCATTGATTTAAATATTTTCGGTGATGGTCCTACAAAGATATTTAGACAATTTTTGATTCAAACTATTGAATGTATTGATAATTTGAATAATAACAAATATTTTAATAAAACTTTGGTCGCTGATCTGTCAAACGCATTAAAAAAATTTATATATGATAATAAAATGGACTGCAAAATTCCAACTGATGCTGTTACATTAATAAATATTAATGCCTACTACGAAGAATTGATTATTCAGGTAAATCAAATTGGAGTATACATTAAAGAATTAGAGAAAAACATACAATTGTTTAATTATATGAAAAAAACTGGGAATGTAGATCTTGCATCGAGTTATCCATTTATTTATATGCTAAAACCATTTACATTAGGTAAGTTTTTCAAAATTATAATAAAATAAAGGGAATAATAAAATATTCCCTAAATTATTTATTTTTATCTTTGACTAAAAATTTTAGTTTTATGAAATGTGGAAAATTAGGCACAATTTTGTCAATTTTTACTTTGTTGATGTGTACTCTACTTATTAGAATATATTTTTTAACGTATATGTATATTTATAATATACTTATATTTCAAAAGAATAACAGAAGAAACATCAGTAAAACAGCTAATTTGGTTTTTTGTAAAATGTAAAATTATTATTAAAATGTTATGTATCCTATTTGGTTTTACCAATATAAGTACGATTTATGCAGTCGAATTAAACATAATTCCGCACCTAAAAGTTTTCCATAAATAGATCTTAACTATTATTAATTCGACTGAATTTTCTACAAGAATAAAAAAAATTGCAGTAAAAAATATATAAACAGTAATCTATTTATGAGAAAAGAATTCCTAAAAAGATACATTAATACAATAGAGGATATGTATCATGACACTTGTTCCCGGGTAAAAAGTTTAGAATGAATAACAAAGGGCTTTAGGGTAAAAGGAGGACGGCATGAACGTTTTGCTTTATGCCATTATTTATATTCTATATTGATGGATATAATTACTATAGAATTAGAAGGATAAGTGGTGCATGGTGTTCGTTGGCGATATAGTGTTAATATGAAAAAATAGAATGGAAATCAATCAAAAGCTAGAGGTGTGAATATTATCTCTTGAAGAAAAGGGTTTAAGAATAAGTAAGAGTATGACAGAGTATATAAACTAGAAGTTTGATAAATAAGAATATGAGGTAGGTGAAATGATGAGATTAGTGATAATAAGAAAAAATGTGATAGATAGTTTTAAGTATTTATGATCAGTTGTGCAAAAGAATAGTGGTATTAACGTGAAAATAAGATACAAGAATATGTACAAGTAGGTGAAAGGAGAGAAGCTTCTAAGGTGTTATGTGATAAGAAAATTTCAATGAGATTAAAAGATAAGCTCTATAATACTGTAGTGAGACCAGCTATGGTTCAGAGTGTTGGCCGGTTGACCAGAAAATAGAGCAGATAATAATTGTAGCAGAGATGAGATTGCTTAGATGGATGAGTGGAGTGACTAGAGAAAATAGGATAAGGAACAAACATATAAGAGGGAGTATAGGTGTAGCGTCAATCGTAGAAAATAGATAGGAGAAAATAGACTTAGTTGGTTTGGTTATGTTTAGGTTGTTATGAGGAGAGAGGAATCGGAACCTGTAAAAACACTTATGCAAATTTATTTTGAAGGAAGAAGAGGTGGACGAAGACCAAAAAAGAAATGGAGAGATGTTATTAAATGCGATATGAGGACGTCTGATGTGTGCCTAAGTGATGTGAGAGATCGTGTCGAGTGGAAGTTTAGAATAAAGGTGGCCGAACCTAAGAAGTTGGGATAAAGGTAAGGAAAAAAATGAAAAATAAGAATTTTATTCAAAAATTAAAATTTTCTAGTTAGTTTAGCAGATAATAAAATACTTATATTAATCAAACACAATAAAGATTTTTTACACATTTGATATTATCTATTTAAACCTTATTATTTATTCCATTATTATTTATATAAAATATGCTGCTGAATACGACAATTAGGGCATAATTATTATTTTACAGTTAATAATATTATCGTAATAATCATGAAAAAATTAATTGATCTTTTATTTATAAAATGGTATTAAATGGTTATTCGTTTAAGTAGTTTAAAGTTTCACGCGGTTTAATTTTTAATGGGATAAAAACCCCAATTTTGAAAGCGCTAATAAATAAAAATATTTATAAATACAAATTTAACACATTAGACTAATCAAATAAAATTATAGCAATATTAATCCATTTTAGCTTTGATGCAAAAGTTATAAGATATTATATTTGTTGGATACACAACTTAAATAAGTTTTCAATGTATTTTATATTAATATGGTAATATCACTATCGTCATTGTTGTCCTCACGGGATGTTAGCAGGTAGAAGACTGGCGTCTTGACCGTATCTCAGCGCCACATTCGGATATTACGTGTGCAATCATTGTGACACTGTATTACTTTCTGTCTTTTTCTGTTTGCATTGTCGCTACCATCTTAGTCTTTTTTGCTACATGACTCTATGGTGCTTGTGAGCGAACATGAAGTTGATGTTAAAAGTCGACATATTGCTCTTTCGATAGCCGCAACCTTGTGCATAATTGTTCATCTTCCTTCTGGTACGTTGTGATTTTGTACAAAAAAATAAAGACTACAACAAAGATGAGGACAATAAATCTGTCAGTCACCCATGTTCTTCACTGAAATCAAGCTGTTGTTAACAGGGGCATATATATCAGGAAACACTGGGGAATAACATATTTCTGTAACAATTGCTTAAAATGTCCCTTAATTTATTTTCTGTCAGCGAGTCTAAAAAAATAAAGAATATTATTTTCCTCATTCAATTTTTACCTTCGATGCAAAGCGGATAAGGTACTAATTTTATTATGTGTTTTTTATGTGCCGATTGAACCTTTACCTATCCACAAGAGGGGATTTAATATTGCAATTTTTTTGCAAAAGTCAACTTTTTCAATTTAACTTTTGAAAATGTACCGTAAATCCTATGTCTTTTAAGTACATGTTAAATTAAAGCTTATGTTACGTTTTACATATTGAAAAAAAATTGTCTTGGAGACTTATCTTCTACATGCAAATAGCTGCCGTAGTTAAAAACATACTATTTTTGTGTTCAAATTTTTGATTTATTGATTTTATATTTTCAACATTAAATTGCTATAATTTTTTTTTAAATTGATAAAAATGATGGATGAAAAGGTATACGACGTATATTGGCGCAAAAAAAACATCGATCTTCGAATTGTTTATGAGATACCTCATAAATTTATTATATACATTAAAATGAACATTTTATGAAAATTTGAGATTAAAAAAAAAAAATTTTACAGGTCGCTCAAACGCGTTTTAAGAAAATTGACCAAAAATACACAAAAAAACATAAAATGTCATTATTTATTCAATTTTTGTTCAAATTTCTTACTTAGTACATCTAAATTGTTCGTTTTTTAATGCCGAATAATAATAATTAGAAAACAAAATTGATTGCGTAAAGTACATAAAAATCTCAAAAATATGGTTAAGTTCTACGAACACTTAAGTAAACGAAAAAAATTTTTTTTTTAAATTTGATTAATATTTCTGTGTATTTTAAGAGGAAAAATTTTTTTCCACTAATGTTTAAAACTACTACTTCTTTTTTTAGATTAGGACGTACGCTAGAATATACGATGTACATAAAAATAAAAGAAAATATCGTGAAATTTTACTGTTTTCTTTTTACATTTTTAGCTTCGATGCGAAGCTGAGAAGGTATTGGTTTTACTAAGATGTGTTTTTTTTTTTTTTTTGACTGTTACCACTTTTTCTCAGCTCTCACCGAACCGATTTCTTTCAATGATACGTCAAAAGATCACAAATTGTATCTAGTCAAAGACATTACCCTCAAAATTTGAAAAAATTCCCTCGTTCCCCGTAAATGGGGGAAACCTCCAAAAAAATTACGAATTTAAAAATCGCTAATTTTCGAAATTTTTTCAATTTTTTTTAATTAAAAGTGCCATAACTTTTTCAAAAATAAACATATCAAAATAATTCTTTTTTGTATAGATGCATAATATTATTACCTTTCATTTGGTATATTTTTTTTATAAATTTAACCCTTAACCTGCCCACAAGGGGGGATTTAAAATGACAACTTTTTCACAAAAAATTAACTTTTTCAACTTAACTTTTGAAAATGTTCCGGAAGGTCTGACACTTTTATATATATCTTAAATTAAAGCTAATGTAATTTACTTTATTATGCGAAAAAAAAATTTCGGACTTTATTTTATCTTCACGGTGAAAATGGCTACCGAATGCTATTATTGTGTGAAAATTCTCGATTTTATTTTTTATATTTTTAACTTTATAATGCTATGACATATTGAAAAGTGTATGGATCAACATTATTTTTTTATGAGAAATAATATTTTTTAATAATCCCTTTTTCATTCGACATACTTTATCTTAATTAGGATATTAATAATGAACTAGCAGATCATGTAGCTTTTGGAATAATCCACCAATTTTTTAAAATTAATCACTATCTAAAGATTTGCATCGAAGCGTTTTTTTTTTGATAGTGATTTTAATCACTGTCAGATATCATTATACTTGATCCATCTATACCACGTCACCACTGTGCCGCGACCCCCCTGTGCTGGGTTTTTAATTTTTAAATTTGGTATTAGCTGTATATACATACATATATATTTATAATTATAAATATAAAAATTATTTTTTATTTTTTTTGTCATCAATGTTGATTTTTTACAATCGGGGTACTCATTCTAGACAGAATAAACGTATCTAGCCTAAAAGCCACGTATATTTTGGCGTCTGCTTTAACTTAGTGTGATAAAAATATTAATATTAGATTTAGCTCTATTCAAAAGATTTTCTAATAGCTGGGAAAATATAGACAAAAAACTATACTGTAATATGTTGACAGATGATGTTGTGTTAAAGATATTAGCACCAGATATATACATAATTTCTAAATTTTGTGAAAATAAGTTAAATTTAAATCATTCTCGGGATGACTATAAAGAGTTATTGGAACTTTGTTTGCTATTCATCGGAAAAGAAAATGAAAAAATTAAAATCCATCCACCAGGAGAACTTTACAGAGCGAAATGGATGGCTAAAATAATATATTGTTTTAAAATTTATATGTTCTGGTCTCAATTAATTCTCAATGTCTTTACCTATCATTTGGTATATTTTTTTTTATAAATTTAACCCTTGACCTGCCTACAGGGGGGATTCAAAATGACAACTGTTTCACAAAAAATTAACTTTTTAAACTTATTTTTTGAAAGTGTTCCGGAAATACTGACACTTTTATATATACCTTAAATTAATGCTAATGTAATGTACTTTATTATGGCAAAAAAAAATTTCGGAGTTTATTTTGGCTTCATGGTGAAAATAGGTATCGTATTCAAAAATATGCTATTTTTGTGTTAAAATTCTTGGTTTTATATTTTATTTTATTATAAGGGGATTACTCTGATTTTTATAAATATTATATCAATTTAATTGATATAGTATAAAAAGTTAAACAAATTGAAATTTTTTTGTTTCTTTGAAGTCGAGAAAAATAACTTTGACTATCTAAATTTCCATTTTTATTAAGTGACGAATGCTACATACGGATTCTGAGACCGTAACACTTGGGTCTTTCATGCCTGTGGCACTGAATTTTTTCTTAATTCTTTTTGAGTTAGAAAAAAATGTTTAACTTTTATGATTTTTATTTCATTTCGATTCAATAACTTCAATAAATATCAAGGATCCCATTACTGTAGTCTCCTTTTGTGAAAAGAAATTCAAATTAATATCATTTTACTATTTGGTTTTTTTTGTAGCTATCATTTATTTTCTCAGCTTTTACCTAACTTACTTTTTTGACAAAATTTTTTTTTTAATTAAACACTATCTACAGACTTGCGTCGAAGCGTTTTTTATGATAATGATTTTAATCACCTCAGATATCATGTATACTAGACCTAAATATGCCACGATCCCACTGTGCTGTGGTTTTTTTTTTTTAACGGTCAATTTTCCTTAATACGGGAGATGTTCAAAACTTGAAACAAACGTTAAGATATAGAACTATTTCAACTTCACTTTTGAAAATATTTCAAAATTTATCAAAAACACTTATAGTCACCAAGTATTTTGATTTAAAACCTGAAATTTTTATTAGATCTGCCTAAAAACATTTCAAAGGTACCCAGATAATTTCGTTGAAATTTGTTTGTTTTTAACTGAGTAATGAGCTTTCTTTTTAAGTCCATGCATATAGTATTTGTTTGGACACTATTTTGTGTACTGNATTTTTTTTTTAATTAAACACTATCTACAGACTTGCGTCGAAGCGTTTTTTATGATAATGATTTTAATCACCGTCAGATATCATGTATACTAGACCTAAATATGCCACGATCCCACTGTGCTGTGGTTTTTTTTTTTTAACGGTCAATTTTCCTTAATACGGGAGATGTTCAAAACTTGAAACAAACGTTAAGATATAGAACTATTTCAACTTCACTTTTGAAAATATTTCAAAATTTATCAAAAACACTTATAGTCGCCAAGTATTTTGATTTAAAACCTGAAATTTTTATTAGATCTGCCTAAAAACATTTCAAAGTTACCCAGATAATTTCGTTGATATTTGTTTGTTTTTAACTGAGTAATGAGCTTTCTTTTTAAGTCCATGCATATAGTATTTGTTTGGACACTATTTTGTGTACTGATGTTACACAAAAAGTATGTGTAAAANATACTTTTTGTGTAAAAAATTGATCGTATCCGGTGTAGCCGAATAATCTTACCGGAATCTGTGATCAATCCGTAAAGACTGTTTGAAGAGCTTCAGATTTGGTATAGAGCCGCAGATAGGCGAAGCCTACTTAAATAAAATAATGAATAATATTTTTTAAAATATCCCTAATCGCCTTACATAGTCTACTTTAAAAAGCAATTGGTGAGACCTAATTTACATAAATAGCAAGACTATACTTAAATTCTTATAATTTACAATGCTCTCNATTTCGTTGATATTTGTTTGTTTTTAACTGAGTAATGAGCTTTCTTTTTAAGTCCATGCATATAGTATTTGTTTGGACACTATTTTGTGTACTGATGTTACACAAAAAGTATGTGTAAAAAATTGATCGTATCCGGTGTAGCCGAATAATCTTACCGGAATCTGTGATCAATCCGTAAAGACTGTTTGAAGAGCTTCAGATTTGGTATAGAGCCGCAGATAGGCGAAGCCTACTTAAATAAAATAATGAATAATATTTTTTAAAATATCCCTAATCGCCTTACATAGTCTACTTTAAAAAGCAATTGGTGAGACCTAATTTACATAAATAGCAAGACTATACTTAAATTCTTATAATTTACAATGCTCTCCTCAAATATATATTTTATTTGAATTTGTAGATCTTTTATGTCAGTCTGATTTTTATGCTCCGTTGAAAAAATTGGATGAATATTATAATACCCAAATCAGTGATGTTAAGGAGATGAAACAGGAATGTAAACATGAAATTACCAATAAAGATTCAACAGAAGTTACAAGCAAGCAACATCTTCAAAATGACATAGTACCAATTATTCGTAGATGGAATATAATTACTTATAATGAATCTCCAAGATATTTTGAAAATTATTTTCTTTCTTTAGATGTAAAAAATCATTAATAACTCATACAAATCAATGAAGTTATGTTTGAGTACACGATAATCTAGTATGTCTTAGCTTTAATAAATTTTGGTCTAGTTAATATTTTGCGTTACATTTTTTTTTTTTTTATAATTGATATACCTTGGAGTATAAAAATTTAAAAACAAATAATACTGTTTTCGTTTATTGAAAAATAATAATGTAGATTTTAGAGAGTAGATTTTGAGAAAAAAATTGGTGAAAAATATTTTATTAGTTTTTAGCAATAAATTATAATTTATGCTACAGATAATTATATGTATCATTATTTGACAATACCAAATATGTATTGGGAAAAGGATACGATAACCTAATTCTTTTACGCTAAGCAATATTATAGATAACTTTTTACACAAAAATTCAACATCTGTTATTGAACTTAAAAATTCCAATATTTATATTATTTAGATAGATAAAAGATAATTTTTTTATGAGAAATAATATTTATATTCCTTTTTTATTCGACATACTTTATCTTAATCAGGATATTATTAAGGAAATAGCAAATTATGTAGCTTTTGGAATAATCCACCAATTTTTTAAAATTAAACACCATCTAAAGATTTGCATCGAAGCGTTTTTTTGATAGTGATTTTAATCACTGTCATATATAATTTTACTTGATCCAACTATGCCACGTCATCACTGTGCCACGACCACCCTGTGCTGGGTTTTTACATATTGAATGTGATCGTGAACGTTCTGAACACTGGTAGAACTGACATATTAGGAAGAATCTAAAATAACAAAAAAAGGTAATTAAATTAAATTATGCCCAGATTTAATAATAGACAAAATAATTTAGAATTGTTTATTTAAACAAATTCTTATACAGAGTGATCAATTTATCATTGACTATAAATTTTTTCATAAAATAATAAGAATTTTTTTTGATATTATTTATTTGTCGATTATTATGCGACTAAATATTTTTAATGTCTACTCTTTATCCTTTATAAGGATACCAACTTTATTTTTTTCATAGAAACATACACATTTTAATAGATTCAATTTTAAAATATGATCAAACAAAGAAAATTATGAGTATAAACCTATGGTGGAAGGGGATCTCCTCCTTCATCAAGTCTTGAAGAGGAAGGGGTACTGAAAACTTAACATAAATCAACTTAATGGATGGGATGAGGATGAAACCCGACTATGAAACACAAATGCCGCATGTTTAAGATTGTATGTAATAAATTGATTATTATGCGGAAAAATAAAAATTAATTTTCCAGGGTAGGTATGCGTTAACCTTTGAACGTGCGTATAGTACGCGTTATGTCACAACCCTATACACCGCCGTGTCATTTTACCTCCGACGCTGTCGTTGATGTTTAAGTCGTTATCTCGTAAATGATGAATACCCCTTCTATGTGGTTCCACTACACATTCCAAACATTCCGACAGTCGTTGTGTTTGATAAAAATATCATCGAACATGTGCATAACGTGTAGGCGCAATATTTCACAGCATTACTACAAGGTAGTTTGTTGTTAACAGCATTGACTCTGTGTGGTTGTGTGTGCAAGTATTATGACAAATACTTTTTACGTTAAATTATAACTACAATGCAGCTGCCACCGCCGTTACCGTAGCAGTAATCGCAACCACATGTTTAAGTCGTGTTTAGCTGCTGGACTTATCCTGATACATCATTTTGAAATCTTCGGAGTGCAACTCAATTTATACGGACGAAAACTTCATGTCTAATATAAAATATTAGGACTCGCCGTCCGACTATATTGTTTTATAGTGTTCAACAGTTTGTATAAACGGCGTGTGATACAGACCTATGTGTATGCAATTTTTTTTTTTTTTAATACCATAATAAAATATGATCACAACCATCAATACAAATATGTTATTCAAACTATTCGAGTAGAATGTTTAACGCAACCGCTGACAATGTGTATTTCTTTTAGACATTACTAATATACTACCGTACTAGTAAAGGAAGACGTATAGACACTTCAAATACTATGAGAAAAACAAATTTTTCCAAAATTCTTTATAGTTTTTATTTAAACTTGAACAATTAGTCATTAGTATTTATCAATTTTAATTTAAAATCTGATACAACCACTGGGGAGACTGTAGAATGTCTCATTCTTTAAAAAAAACCCATATACGTCTTTATTCCTTAATGTTGTTGGATCATCGATATTAAAGAAATATTAATATTAATGAATCACTGTCGTATGCATTTAATTTTTACATATTATTATATTTTTTAAACTATCCGCTTTTGACTTATGTACTAAATAAATGAAATATAATAAGGATAAGGTACTAAAATAAATAACACATGTTTTTAATAGCAAAATATATATTTAAGTTATCATTAGTATTTCATAAATAAAAAGTACATTATTTTTAGAAAAAACAAATTATAATATTTTATAAACTTCATTAGTCATTGGATTGTATTCAAACATTTTATCGTGTACAATCAAACAATATGCTGTAGTGTTGGTCGGAAAATTTTCATCGTATTCATATTCAATCTAGATATATCTAGATATGATAACTACTGGTGCATTTTTTAATTTTTCGTTTTGCCTTAAACAGTCAATGACAATGAGTGGAACAGTAGTCTTGAATTCTGTTTTTGTCAGCATAGAAAATGCCATATGCTTTTCATAGAACGCCTCTTGGAATTGTGTGTGCATATGGTACAGCATATTTATCATTTGGAAAGTCCATTTGTAAGTTGTCATACGGGTACAATCCGAGTTCATGTATTCTTTTAAAGATAATAATGAACAATGGTCAAATCTACGACTATCTTTGTTTATTTTGTTTTTCCTATCCACTTGAAAAGCCACAATAATAAATCTCGGGCTCTCAGCTTGCGATGAAGTGTTCATGGTCCAGGCTTGTCTTTTACTATTTGGTAGGCCGGGATTTTCATATAGATTCCAACTTTGAAATGCTATTTGAAGCGGTGTTGAGGTTTCCATGATTTTTAGTATGTCTAACCTCATGGCAATTGAAACACTTACGTGTGGAACTTTCCATATAACATTGTTCAAAATAATTTTACAACTCGATAAAATTTCATTTGTCAAGTAAATACAGTTTAAATTTGTACCACTTCGTTGCAATATTGAATCTTGATGACAATTAACGGTGACTTTTTTATGTTCCTCGGCAAATCCTAATAATAACCTTAGAGTTTAACATATTTCAAATCTCATACTCGAATTTGCAGTTACAGCACTCCAGCCAGCATTTTCACACCGTGTATAATCATTCAACGTAACCTTTTATTGTAGACATTATCCCAGGCATACGTGATCTATCTATTTCTATTGAGTTCAATTAATATCCTATTTCGGTTAAGCAGTGAGCTAGCCAATTGTACATCTGAGCCGGCAGGAACTCCCGAGATTTCTCCATTTATCAAAAGATAAGAATCAGATGGAAGGGTGTAAACATTTTGCTGTGGAATACATATTCGTATCTTATCATTATTTAATAGTGTGCTAACCAAAAACGGTTGATAGGAAAAATAATCCAATTTCACTATGCGGTCTTCATTTTACGGTATATCCATTACTATAAAATATCGTCCATTGTTTATTGTATACCCCAAATTAGATAGAATATTAAGGTTTTCATGTCGTATCTCATCAACTAGTCGTGGTTTAATAGTTGGTTTTATAAAATCGTAGAGCCATCACGTATTTGTAGACGTATGGTAACAGGCTCAACTCTAAAGTTAATTGTTTTATCGTCTTGATTTGTTATTTTCACAGTAGGATTTTCAACAATGCGATAACCAGCTGCCACTCCTGGATTAAACTCATGAATCGTATGACTCGTAATTCTGTTGTCAAATGCATCATAAGCAGCGTTACAATTTATTTTTATACTAGTTAAATTATTTATGTTAGCAACTTGATCCGATACATGTATTTTGTTTGCATCGAGTATTTTTTGATAAAAGCCTAAAATAGCGCATGTACTATTTTCAACGCTGAAATATATTTGTCGGCTACGCTTTAATTCAGATTTTAAAGTATTTTTATTAGCCTTCAACATTAATAACGTTGTTCTATGTAGCGTAAGTGTCAGCAATAAGAAGCACGGCACAAAGTTCACCGTTTACACTTTCAGGTTACACGCATTGTACAATTTCTGCCTGAACCGGCCTTATAGATGACAGTGGTCTGCGACTTTAGGTTTGGAATCCTTAAATGCTATTCGGCATAAGTCATATATCACTTTCCTTCCATGCCTGCGCACATCATCAATAGACATTCGGATGGGAACGTAGGTTTTGCGCAAAAATTTAGAAATATTTCGCATCACTTTAGTTACAGCCATCACAAATTCCTTGGCAACTTCTTCGTGATCCTCGGACCCACGGTATATCACCGGTGATTGCGGTATACCATAGCGTTTGAGGAGCTTAGAGGATACACTATCCGATGTTTTCAACATGAACCCGTAGCTCATGGGATGGTGAGTGTGCACAGTTCTGGTGTATGCACCCATACGATCGTCTGTTTGCTCCAGCAAGGTCTCAAAATAGGCGTGAATAACAAACGGTAACCATTGCGTCTTTACTAATGCGTCAAATTCGACCTTACTGCTCTCTGCCAGCATAACGAGTAAAATTGGTTTATTTTTGCTTGAAGTGCTTGAGGATATATCCATGTTTGCAGTTGAGTTCTGACGTTTCGGACTCAACTGCAAATATGGATATATCCTCAAGCACTTCTAGCAACAAGACAATCCATGAAAGCTTTAACACATTCATGGTTTATTTTTGCCACATATCAATTTGTGTATCTTCAACGCATGATGGCCCAGAAGAATATACTTTTTAGGCTTATCATCAAAGCTGGTGAAGCAACGTTTTTCTAAGATTAGTTTACAAAAATTGTAACGTGACAAAAAGTATCTGCTTATTTTTTTTTTTTTTTTTTTTATTTGTATTTATATATGCGTGTTCTAAATTATCTTGGTTGAGCCGAATGCGTGTTGCGACGGCACTTATCATTTAAATAATCATGATAATGTGTTGTGATTTGCTTTTGCGCGTGCGAGACAGTCAACTGTGTACTATTTTGGACCGGTTCATGGCCGGCATTTATGTGTACACTCACCCCGTTTTTTTTCTATCTTGAACGTCATTTGCACTACTCACCACATACATTGTCGTCTTACGATATTTTTCTATTCAAATTGTTCTCAACAATTTCAGGCACTGAGTAGTAAAACTTGTTGACCCCTACTCTAAAGACTAGCCATATTGTCACCATGGAATCGCCGGGTTAAACGACGGACGTTTTGTTGGAAATTAGCCATTGTCGGAATTGGTACGCTAATTTTCGTCCTTAGCGGTGTTTTTTTTTGTTAGTTGTTTGCGCTGCAACTTGCGTGTTTTTATTTATATTTTTTTTTCGTGAGTGCCCGATATTATGTAACTATATAAATTTTTTGTATATTGGTGTCGGCTTAACCTGCCTCCGTTTTCTTTATCCCTTCGGGACTGGTAACGTATAATTTTTAGTTAATGTTTTGAGTCAGATTAGGTTTTTTTAGTACTCCGTGCTATAAGCACGTGTGGCGAATTTTATTTTATTAATTTTTTGTAGGTGTCCCTATTTTTTTTTATTATTTAGGTCCCTCAATATAGCAGGCGTGTTTCAATACTAACTGTCATGTTATATATATATATATTTTGTGATTTTTTATATATAGGTTTTATGTTGCGTGATGCGTGTATATATTATTAGTACAGTGTGGTGACGTAGTCCATTTTATTCCGAGGTGTCCCAACGTCTTGCAATCTAAGTTTAACTCTTTAAAACCAAACGCTTACTTGTGACGTATACCCATCGTGCTTAGCGGTAATGCCGTGATTAATAGACGGTGAGTACCCGAAGACGTTCATCGTATTCTCTAATTGTAAAAATGTAGGTGTAACTATTATTTTTTTACTAATATCTGTCTTTTTTTCTCTGTTCCTTTAATTTGTAGACGAGGTATTTTGACCGTTCGGTTTTTTATCTCGTGTTAACTTAAATTTTTTTTTTAATTAAGTCCTCTTAATTTAACTTAACTATTATCTTATTATTTTTACGTGTTCCATCTTTAATGGACTCGTGTATTTTTGCCTTTCAAAAATCAACTCCCCCTAGTTTATAAGGTACAGGAAACGGCCTTGTATAAGGTCATCCCTGATCATCATGGTTATGTGATAACTGTCACGAGATTTTGGTGTACATTAACTATCAACAACTTAGCGAATATCAAACACAACCTTGGTTTCTATTCAATTTTTTTTTATTTTAAATTTCTTTTAATGTACATAATAAAATTTTTTTCAAAAATCCTACTATGGTCCGTCAATACATTGTCTCGACCAGTGGCTTAACGACCCTCTTTTATATTTTTCAATGCGCCATGAAAGATTGTTGATTTTATCCGTTGTGTCCATCTCATTTGGTTTTTTTTTTCCGATATTTGTAACCTGTTTTTTTTTTTTACACGACCGACTTAGTTGTAGGCTGCCCTGGAACTACTGTTAGATATTACTTCAGGGCGGCCCATGCCGTCTTTAAAACTCACACCACCACGTTGTGAATCAACCCGAAATTAATCATGAGCTTATTCACAACGTGGTGTGGCCTCCCCCGTTAGTCGGATCCCAAAGTGGGATCCATTGCCCGGGTTGCAGGGTTCGAGGGACCGGTTGCGTTCTCGGCGGAGCTCATGCCCAGCTGCGCGTTCCTCGGCGNCAAAGTGGGATCCATTGCCCGGGTTGCACCACGTGGGGCAGGACTTTGCGAAGGGGGCAAAAATAACTTACAAAAACATAAAACACGAATACCTAAGGCGCCGGCCTAAATCAGCGCCTTAGGTCTTCCTGTACCGGGCTGCGCGGCTACCTCTGTCTCAGCCGTTCAGCTTCCTCCTTCTTTTTCAAGATGGATTCGGCGAACGCCTGGACGAGCCTCCACGCCTCCCGGCTTCTCAACATCAGGTCCACCATGGACCTGACTCGGAACGTGGACCCTAGACGGGACTCCAAAGACGCCTCGCACCGGAAGAGGGTGTGCAGAGCGCTATCAGCCTCTCCCGGAAGATCCGAACAGTGGTCGCACGTTGGCACGGCTGCTTTACGAATATGGTGCAAGTACTCGTTAAAGCAGCCGTGGCCGGACATCACTTGGGTGAGACGATAAGTCATCTCACCGTGAGTCCAGTCCACCCATCTGTCCAACCGATCGGGTCCTATGAGGGACCTGGTCCACTCGCCTCTCGGAGGAAATGACGAGAGGTGAGTCCGCCACCGGAGCATGGTCATCCGCCTGAGCGCTAGCCGGTCCTCGGTTCGAGGGACCGGTTGCGTTCTCGGCGGAGCTCATGCCCAGCTGCGCGTTCCTCGGCGAGCGGCAGTGACGACAGGATACCCGCCACCACACCGTACACCTTTCGGTACGCCGAAACGATATTTGTAACCTTTCAAAATCTAAAAATTAAAATATATTTTCTAAAATTATTTTAATATATAATTATATATTAATAATACAATTAATAATTATACAAAGATGTATTTTGAGTTTTGAATGCCCAGGTAATGTTTTATTGTCACTTCTACTGTTTTTTAAATTGTTATGCAGTATTAAAAACAAAGTCGAGAAATTACTGAATTTTTACACGACTACTCTTTGCAGTAATTTGTTCGGTAAATATTGCAATCGATGCATTTACACATGACTTATTGCATTTATTTTCGTTGTATATCTTGAAATTATAGTTACGAATATAGCTGTATAAGATAAATGCAAACAAATTTTATATGCAAACATTCTTAATTTATGTCAAAATACTCATTTTTTGTAAAAGCTAAATTACTTTTTTTTTCATTAATGTTTTTTTAACCATTTATGTAAGTTTTGTCATGTAACAATATAGAAAAAACTAAGAATTAAATGTGAAATAAAAAGATTTCATAATTTAAAATAAGAATAATACGTTTTCCCCATACCATAATATAATTGAAAAATTGTAAATGATAATAATTTTGGATTGTACCATCAATTGATGCCTACAATTCATCTATCCTGAGTAGAGTTGACCCTTATAAGTAACAAAATAATAACAACACTGTCGTAACACAGTAAAATGAAAAAAGTTAAAGGAGTAAATGTGTAACTATGTGTACGAAGATGAATATGAGGAGGTGGTGCCTGCTCCCGTTGCGCTGCGTTACAGTGTCGGTGTGATCGGGCTCTACGGGGCTACGAAACGTCGGCACGAACTCAGTTTCCCTAGCTCGTTAATCCTGTAGATATACAGAATAGCCGTGAAATAAACCTTTATAAGGACGAATAAGCGGTAGCGTTTGGGTGCGAACGGAGTTAAACGGCAACGCAACAGGTGACGTTAGCCGTTCACTGGGCGGAGGGACTGGCTATGAGGGCAGCCCCCTCAAATCATATCACATTTATGAAAATGGAATCGAAAGGTGTAAATGTTACTGCATTAGGGGATTCGGATGCCCCAGTGCCGGCGGTTGGTGGGGGGCGTACCCACCAGGTGTTGTCATCAATCGAATACGCACCAAATGCAGGAGTGTTGAGGTAGGCTCCTGCAGCCAACCACGGGGTTGGTACTGCGACTGCAGGGAGTGGTGGTGACCAAACCACTCCCACCGGTAAAATAGCCGGGAGGTCATTGGCAACGGAATGTTTGGACTCTGATACGATATTGACGTCGGCCAACTCCCTAGATGCGTCTCCTAAAATCTCTATATTGGAGAGATTGCGGTACACATCTAAGGGTGGTTCGACAAGGGTGGGACCTTCGGGTCCAACCATGGATGTGATTTGTGTGGTGGAGGCGGCAGAGATGGGGGAGGACGATTCCTTGCGTCCCAAACGCAAGGAAATCTCCCCAACGATCAGCCTCTCCACCGTCACATTGTAGGACATCCCGCCCGGCGAGGTTGCGCCCATGCTGCTGACTCCTCCGAAGGTCATGGCCAAGAAGCACAAGATGGTGCCCCTGACGGCAGTTGACTTGTTCAATGCTGACGGGACACCAAAAAGGGTAATTGGTCGGACGAACGAGGTGTTGTCGACTGGGCTGGATCTAGCCAGGAAACAGGCGGCGCAGCTCTCCGACTTGATAGAGGTGTATCTACCACACAGGCGGGTGGTGAAGATGGCTATGGCACTTATAGAGAGCGTAAGAGCCCTGGCTGATCTTCACCTGACTAGTACGCCGGAGGGAAGATCACCTGCACCAACGTTGGTGAGCCGGGTGTGCCTCCAGGACGGTGCATCCCAGACGGACTACTGGTGGGACACTCACGGCCCACCACCATCTAGGTCTGTCAGGGACGCATCGTCCCCCCTCCAAGGTAAGAAGGTGGCAGCAACTGCGCTTCCGCTTGCCGCCGCCAACACCAAGAAGCGGAGGATGAAGAAGAAGAAGAAGGGGAAGAGGAAAGACGCTGCGTGTCTTACTACGGCCATCGCAGCGCCCTTGCCATTCAGCGGCGCGGCTCCCCCTTCTTCACCAAGTGCTCCTCCCACCACTCCAACACCCGCTACGGCCACCTTTTGGACAGAGGTGATAAAGCGGAGGGGGGCCAAGAGGGTGGAGAGAGCGACAGCGGCTCTCAAGACGGAGGTCTTGACCTCAACGCCCTTGGGGTCCAATTGGCGGGCACCAGGGGACCCGTAAGCCCGTTTCGCTGCGCTACAGTGTCGACGTGATCGGGCTCTACGGCTCTACGAAACGTCGGCACGAGCGCAGTTTCCCTAGCTCGGGGAATCGGGCGCGTCCTCAGGTTGCGGATAGAGGAACGGCCTGCAGATATGCAGGTTAGCCGCGAAATAAGCAGTCCATTCATTTGGACTGACGAATAAGCGGTCGCGGACAGCGAGCCCCTCGTTCGCTCGTTAACCCTGCAGATATGCAGGGTAGCCGTGATATAAGCCACTCCTAGAGTGGACGAATAAGCGGTAGCGTTCGAGGAAAACGGGCAGGTGGGCCCGATAGCCTGGTAAGGCGACCACCTAGGTGAAGGTAACACCGAAAACAAATCCCCTGGCGGTAGGTAAAACGCAGGGAAGGACACCCGTAAAACCAATCATGGAAGGAAACCATTCAAATATAACGGTTACCGCGCCAGGAGAATCGGAGTCTCCAGGGCCGGCTGGGAAAGGTGTCGCTACAGGCCTAACCCGGTCGTCATCCAGCGACTGTACCAGAACCGTGGGACTGGTGAGGCAGGGTCCAGGGGGCGTTCGCGCCCAAGCTACTGTCGGAGGATGTGCCAAGCAGGCATCCTCCAGTGACCTTAGGGTCACTGAGGTAACTGCTGGTGGCTTAGCTACCATCGAGGAGATGGTGGACGACTGGGAAGGCGTGCGTGAGCGTTTTCGTGACGACATGCCGCTAACTCAGTCGGAGTTCACAAGATGGAACGGCTGGCTCCAAAGCATGGAGACTGGAGGATGGACGATGGACTCGTTCCCGTGCGGCTCATTCCGGACGGCTGAATCTTTCCGGAGTTCAGTGTCGACGGTACTGAAGCTGATGAAGAGGGACTTGGACGATGGACGTCCATTCGCCCCGGAGAGGATTAAGGAGTATAATCCTTTAGAAGGTGTTGATGAGCCCGAGCTAAGAGCGGAACTCATCGAGAAATGCATTGCTAGTCGCCGAGGGGAAGCTGCGGTGGAACGCCTCACGGGCGTTGCTCGCTTAGTCGCTTCGGAACTCTTATCCCGCTACAACGACAGCGGGATAATGAGAAGCATGGGTCGTGGGCTTTATCAGGCCGTTGAGTACCTCGCGTACACAGAAGGACAAATAAAGCAGGAAGTGACATCTCCTTTGGATGACGAAGACGAGATGATGCGGACGGGCGACCGTCGTGGAAGCAATGAGCCTTCCCCTGGGGAAGGCTCATCGACTCGCCAGCGTGCGGAATCGCCCGCGCTTAGTCCGCTTCCGGAGAGTTCTCCTCCAGTACGCCATCCTGGCAAGAGGAGGGCGCCTTTGGGGGAAGAGGAAGAGAGCGACGACGAGGCCACGTTTGACGTCGGCCTCAATCACGTCGTTGCTCTCGCCCGAACAGCGGAGGTCGAGGGGAGTCTGATGAACGAGGTCCCGGGTACCCACCTGGAGTATCTCGTTCAGCAGATCTCCCTCTCGTGCCAGGCCCTCAGCGAGCTGAGGAGCGCGGTGCGGCCATGTCGCAAGAGATGGCATGACCCGGCGGACGTGGCGACGGCCACGTCGTCTATGATAGAAGGCATAGTCGCGCAAGTGGCTGTGCTTCGAGGTGTCATAGACAAACGTCGTGGTATGGGGGTGCACAAGGAGGTGCAGATGGCGACGAAGCGCCTGGAGGAGATCCTGGAAGAGGAGAAACGTAGAAGGGCGTCTCCAGCGGCCAGGATCCACCAGGATGTTGCAGTGGAGTCAACTGCCGGATCGCGGCCGCCGAAAGCATCTTCCCCGAAGATGGGCAAAGAAGTCTCGACGCAGACTGTCGTCGATGACCCACCGGCCGATTCACCAAAGGGTCCGGACGAGACGGAGAAAAGGAAGAGGAAGAGGAAGAAGATACTGCCCGTCGCTGCGGGTACTGCCGCCGGATCAGTTAGTGCGTCCACCGGGACGCCTACTGACCGGCCGATGGCGGACCGAGCCAGCGACATGGTGTCCGCGGAAGGGGATGCGGGAGCTGCTCCCGCTGAACCTCAGTGGTCCCAGGTCGTGGGACGCAAGTCGGGCAAAACAAAAAAGAAGAAGGAGGATACGGCGGCCGAGGCCAAACCTCCTCCTCAGACGATGACGGCTCAGGCGATAAAACGCCAGAAAGCGGCGAGACTGCGTGCCAAAGTGCCCCGCACAGAGGCCGTAGTGATCGGCCCCCTAAAAGAGGGGCAGAAGTATGCCGCTGTCATTGGCACAGCCATGGCCGCGGTGGATCTCCGGGCTCTGGGCATAAATGTGTCCGGGACCCGGAGAACGCAGACGGGTGCCGTCCTCTTGGAGGTCCGGGGGTCGGCCGAACAAGCTGACCTCCTGGCGGCAAGTCTTAGGGCGGCCCTGAAGGATATGGACGTGCGGGTACATCGGCCGTCGATGACCTGCACCGTCCTCCTCCTGGACGTTGAAGAGTGGCAGGAGGAGCAAGATGTGCAGCGAGCACTGAGCACCGCCCTGACGTCTCCGAATGGAGAACTGCCGCCGCTAGTGGGTCCAATTACGGTCCACACAAATGCTGGCGGTAAAGGGCGGTATGCGAGGTGCGAGGTGCCCCTCAAAGTTGCTCATCGCCTGGCAGGTCTAGGCCGAGTCCGGGTCGGGTGGACGTCCTGTAGACTGAGGATTCTCGATAAGGGACCTCAGTGCTACAGGTGTCTAGAACGCGGGCACATAGCTCACGCGTGCAAGGGACCGGACCGGTCGAAGGCCTGCTTCAGGTGTAAGAAGGAGGGGCACCTCTCCAAGGACTGCCCCGGAAGCCGAAACAAGGTAGAAGGTCGGGCTTCAAAACCGACCAGAAACCAGGAAAAAGAAGAAGATGGCCTACCCCCACCTCCAAGTGGTCCAACCCGGGCAACGGACCCCCTAGTGGGGTCCGGCTAACGGGGGAGGCTACGCCGCGCTGTGATTCAGCTCTAGTGTAGACTTGGGCCGTATCACAGCGCGGTGGTATGAAGCAGAGAAGGCGACGTGGGCCGCCCTGAAGCAATGCCTCACGGCAGTTCCAGGGCGGTCCACATTAAAGTAGAGAAGTGGAAGAAAAAAAAAAGGATCACGGTAGAGATTTTTGGGCTACCCCCTTCACTATAAAAAACCATTTTTCCCCATCTAAACCAGTTCTTTTGACGATTTTAAAATACACAAAATCTACGACGTTTTACTCAAGATTTCACTCTTNGACAGCCTGAAGAGCGCCCTGAAGGAGCATGACGTGCGCGTTCACCTTCCGGCACTGATGTCAGTGCCCGTCATGCTCCTGGATGTGGAGGAATGGACGGAGGAGGGCGACGTGCAGAGTGCACTGCTGGACGCCCTTCGCCGTCCAAAGGATAAGGTGCCGCAGGAAATCGGGCCCGTGGTGGTCCGTGCGAACTCCGGCGGCAAAGGGCGATACGCCCGGGTGGAGGTGCCGGCAAGGCTGGCCCACCGCCTCGCAGATCTCGCCCGTATCCGTGTGGGATGGATCACCTGTAGGCTGAGGATCCTTGGAGACAAGGGTGCGAGGTGCTACAGGTGCCTGAGCACGGGCACGTGGCCCAGACCTGCAAGGGACCGGACAAGTCCAAGGGATGCTTCTCCTGTAAAAAGGAGGGGCACCAAGCCAAGGAATGTCCGGGTGTGGGGCCGGTCCTAAAGGCCCCGAAGACTAAGGGGTCCTGGTAAAAAGGCCCCTCTGGGTAAGAAAACGGGGGGAATGGCTGAGGGGTCTCCCGGAACGCAGCCCGCTATTAGATGAGATTCCTTCAAACGAATCTCAACCATTGTCGTGCTGCCCAGGACCTGGTCCGGCGGGTGGCGTACGAGATGGGCACCGACGTATGCATCGTCTCGGACCCGAACGACGGATGGGTCCGCGACTCTGCAGGCTGGTTATTGGACCGGTCCGGCAGAGCGGTGATCGGCGTGATGGAACGCGGCATAACGGTCGCGGACATCGAGTCGGGCAACGGTTACGTAGTGGCGAGGAGAGACGGCATCGACGTCTTGAGCTGCTACGCGCCGCCTAGCTTGCCGATCGCCGGACTCCTCGAGCCCGTCTCCTCATGCCTAGGAGCGGATGGCTCGGGCGGCCGCGGGGAGATAGTGACCGGGGATTTTAACGCTCACTCCCCGGTCTGGGGGTCAGCGGACACGAATCAGCGTGGCCAAGACCTGTTGGACCTGATGTCGGCTCTCGGGCTGGTATCAGCCAATAGGTGCTCCACCCCGACGTTCGAGGGTCACTCCTCGAGCTCGGTAGTGGACGTCACGCTGGTGTCACCGTCGTTACACTCGCACGTGTTCGGTTGGTCGGTTCTCTCGCACAGGGAAAACCTCAGCGACCACCGGTACATCGTGTATGAGTGCGGCGACGGCGGCTGTCCCCCACGAATCGTGCCCCGCGAGCCGTCTCTCGGTGGGCGAGTGGGCTGGCGGGTCGGACCGGCCACGGACGTTGATGCATTCGAGACGGGCTTACTGCTCGCTTAATGGTCGGCGCCCGCGGTAACGGTAACGGTAATCGCAGCCTGCGACTTCGCCCTTCCGGCCAAACAACCGCCGTCGACTTGCGGACCGCCAGTCCACTGGTGGAACGCTGAGGTGGTGGCCATACGTGAGGAGTGCGTCAGGGTCAGGAGGGCCATGACGCGCTCCAAGCGTTGGCCGCGGGACCCGGAATCCCCGGACTCGAGGGAGGCACTGAGGTCGGGCTGCAAAGAGCTGAAGCTCGCCATCAGGCGGGCCAAAGCGAAGTACTGGGCCGAACTCGTGAACTCGGTGGACCACGACCCGTGGGGGAAACCCTATCGGGTCGTCTTACGGAATCTCCGCGGTTCACCGGCTTCCGGTCAGCTGGAGGCGGAAGTGCTGGAAAGGGCGGTAGAAACGCTCTTTCCGACACATCCGCCTCTGCCTCCCCCGGCGTTCGGGGATGACGTGTCTGTGGAGGAATTCACCACTCAGGAGGCGGCTGACGCGATGGCGCGCGTGCGGGGCCGGAACACAGCTCCCGGCCCGACGCGATTCCAAACCGGGTTTGGGGGTTGGTAAACGACTTCGCCCCGGATTGGATACGCGCTGTCGCGAACAGCTGCCTCTCGGAGGGTAAATTCCCCACGAAGTGGAAGAAGGCCAGGCTGGTGCTTCTGAGGAAGGGTAACGTATAATTTTTAGTTAATGTTTTGAGCCAGATTAGGTTTTTTTAGTACTCCGTGCTATAAGCACGTGTGGCGAATTTTATTTTATTAATTTTTTGTAGGTGTCCCTATTTTTTTTTATTATTTAGGTAAAGATAACTTTTTCAAATATTAACAAATCAAAATAATATTTTTTTATATTGAAACCTTAGGTAATTTCCTTTCGTTTGATATCATTTTTTTTGAAAATCTAACACTTATTCTGCTCACAAAGAGGATTTAAAATAGTAACTTTTTTACAAAAATTAACATATTCAACATATTAAACTAAAACCTTAGATATTTTCCTTTCATTTGATATAATTTTGTTGAAAATTTAACATTTAACCTGCTCATGGGGGGGGATTTAAAATAGCAACTTTTTCACAAAAACTAACTTTTTCAACTTAATTTTTGAAAATGTTCCGGAAATACTGCGTCTTTTAAACATATAGCAAATTAAAGCTTATTTTATGTACTATAAAATGAAAAAAAAAAATTTGTCCTCACGACCTATCTTCTACGCGCAAATGGCTACCGTATTCAAAAATATTCTATTTTTCTATTAAAATTCTAGGTTTTGTATTTTATTTTATTTTTAATTATCTTATTAGGAGAAAACAGCATATATAATATATAATACACGGTGAAAACAGCTACCGTATTTAAATGTAATAAACCAAAAATAAAAAGAAAGAAATGAAAAAGATAACAGAGAGAATTATTAAAGTGGAGAAGGTAGGTTAAATATAAAAAGAAATTGGTAGTACTAAGTAAATTATTATAATTATTATTTATTATAAGTATTTTTTGTAGATTTAATTGTCTTCAATTTTATTTAAGTTAATTTTCTCATTATTTATTTCTCTCATTAATTATTAATGGTTTATCACGCAATAGATTGTTGGAAGTTCGAAAGCATAAGTTAAATTGTACTTACCTTACGTCCTATGTAATACAATAATATTTCAAGTAATCCAGTGTTGATTTTCGTATTAAACGCACTACGTATACGATTTACACTATACGTCGTATAGTCTAGGTCAGTGGTCGGCAACCTTTTTTAATTCTCGGGCCATATTTACAAATTAAAAAGAGTTCGCGGGCCAGATAAAAAAAAAAAATTTATAATTACATTATTTATTATGCAAAAAAATACTATCTAAAACTTAAAATAATAATATGACTTATATAAAATACCCGTACCAAAAACGCAACGTTCAATTATATTTATACAAAATGATATTCAATTAAATTAGTCGATTTAGAATTTAAAGCGGGCCGTATTCAATAGCCACGCGGGCCGCCGGTTGCCGACCACTGANTTTACATATTGATTTTTTTTACTTCTGTTGAATAAGTATTTTTTTTTAGAGAGTATATTTTATTAAGAGATCGATACCAATACTTCTTAAATTTCCCTTTGGCCTAGCCAAAACAAGATTCAGAAATATCTATATCTATGTATAAAAATTTATCAAGGCGGAATTGTGATGGCCCAATGTGTCCCGGTGCTAAAATAAAGCACCTTGAAAGGATGCGGCACAATAATTACCAAGACAAAAATTAAACACTGCAAATATATTTGTAAGTTTCTCTGCGTTGTCTGCCGGCGCGATGTTTCTTAAAACAAAGACATTAGTAACGAAATTAGATACCCAATAAGAAAAGCTCAAAATAAATTTTTATCATTAAATAAAAATCTAAAGTTATGTTGGATTTATTATTAAAATAAAATAATTTAAAGAAAAATGTAATGTTTAAAATATTATTTGATGTTTATTTCCACAACAAGAAAAATAAAATATTATTGATGATTGAACAAATTAAATTAAATTAAAAGATTCACCAAAACAAAATTCACTTTAAAATTTCTAAGTGTCATTTAGTTTTAAAGAAAAATATTCTAAGTTCAAATTAATTTAAAAATCGACTAAGTCCCGAAGAGTGAAATCTTGAGTAAAACGTCGTAGATTTTGTGTATTTTAAAATCGTCAAAAGAACTGGTTTAGATGGGGAAAAATGGCTTTTTATAGTGTNACGCGTGAGCTATGTGCCCGCGTTCTAGACACCTGTAGCACTGAGGTCCCTTATCGAGAATCCTCAGTCTACAGGACGTCCACCCGACCCGGACTCGGCCTAGACCTGCCAGGCGATGAGCAACTTTGAGGGGCATCTCGCACCTCGCATACCGCCCTTTACCGCCGATGTTAGTGAGGACCGTAATAGGTCCCACTTCTGGCGGCAATTCTCCATTCGGAGAATTCAGGGCGGCGCTCAGTGCTTGGCGCACATCTTGCTCCTCCTGCCACTCCTCCACATCCAGAAGGAGGACGGTGCAGGTCATCGAGGGACGTTGTACCCACACGTCCATCTCCTGTAGGGCTGCCTTTAACCTGGCCGCCAGAAGGTCCGCTTGTTCCGCTGACCCCCTGACCTCCAAGAGGACTGCCCCCGTCTGTGTTCTCCTGGTCCCGGACACCTGGATGCCCAGGGCCAGGAGATCAACCGCAGCCATGGCTATACCCATAACTGTGGCATATTTCTGACCCTCCCTCAAGGGGCCGATCACCACAGCTTCCGTGCGTGGCACTTTTGACCGCAGCTTCGCTGCATTCTGGCTTCTTTTTGATTGTGGAGGTTTAGGCGCGGTCGCCGTCTCCTCCTTCTTCTTTATTGTTCCTACCTTCCTTCCTAGTACTTTGGACCACAGCGGTTCAGCGGGAGTACCTCCCGCATCCCCTTCTGCAGACCTCAGTAGTTTGCCCGGTTCGCCGCTCTCTCGTCAGTCTGCGTCTGGGTAGGCGCGACTGAATCAGAGACCGGATCTTGGACAGCAGGGCGCTTTTTCTTCTT